TTTTGGATGGTGGAATCAAGGAGGAAAAAGTTTGGTTCGAGTTTAAGAATTAGTGCATGACAGATGATTGAAAAAATGTCTATTGGATGAGTTTTATCTAATTATGTAATTTATGAAAGAATGCATTTGATATAGATGCTATATAAGTTAACTTAGCTTTGTGAAAAATTTTGATTATGTAGCTATTAGGTGGCTAATTGAATTTTGAAAATTGCACTATCAATGATTTATAAATTATGGTCTTGATTTATAACTCGTTTTGTGGTGCACTTAAGGTGTTTGATAAAGTGAGTTATGAACATAATTTTTTAATTTAATAGAGTAATAAAGTTCAGGTGTGCATGCATGCTCATACTTTGATCAAAATTTAGCTACTTGTTCTTGAGTCGAGTTGGAAAGACAAGTGTAACATAGAGAAAGCTTTGGATAAATAAATAATATGTAGTATTGTGAGGATTGAAAAGACTTAAGATATGTATCGGATCAATTTAAGAACTTAGTGTATATTGTTCCTGTTATGGAAAAGGAGTTTTATTAGACTTGGATAAAGGTCACTAAAATTTTCGTATTATTGAATAGGGGATTTGAAGAAAAAAAACTCTTGATTAGAGTAGTAAGGAAGGTTGTTTTTTAAAGGGTTAAAGGGTGAATTTTTGTGCTTAAAAATACTGTAGGTAAGTGGATAGCGTCGCAACTGATATTTTATTAAAATCTCCTTTATTCAAATATCACATTTTTATGAAAATTCTTTTTTACAACAAGAATGTGATTATTAGATATTTTGTTGATTAAATTAATTTAATTTGTGAAGTTATTTTACCAGAATTGATTATTTAGTTAATTAGTAAATACAAGTTTGAATTCTAATTATGGGATTTCATTCTAGAAATTATTGAATTGCTACAGAAAAATGATTCATGCAAATTTGACTTGAAAATGAAAATTCTATTTTAAAAGTGATGATTTTTTCGCATGTTTGAAAATAAATTTAAGGGGACTTTATACAGAACTTTGGTTGCTAACGGCAGTTTCGTTAGCCCTTAGCGTGCCATAGTAAATGACTAGCTAATTTGATTTTCGTGAGCTCTGTTCTTACATTTGTTATTCGTGGGTCTCATACTTGCATTTATTTTCGTGGCTTCAAGCCACATTTGGTTAGCATTACCCTCATAGACTGTGTGTCCACGTTTTTTTTATAGCTCAAGTTGCATTTGGTTATTTATCCTCATAGACTGTGTGTCACATTTGTCTTTGTGACATAAGCTGCATTTGGTTTATTTTACCCTCGTGGACTGTGTGTTCACGTTTGTGAATTATTCTGATAAATCTCCTAAAAATATATGAATTTAATTAATCGGTGATTTCATATGTAATGGTTTTTAATTTAGTAAATATTTTATTTTTATTTGTCTATCTAATCATTTTAACTTGTCAAGATTAAATGTTAAAAGTTGTTTTGTCATTATAGATTTAAATGTTCTTGTTATTGAAGTTATATTGAACTTTTGTTTTGAGTTTATAAATTGTTTACATTGAGTTACTTTCTCATTTAAATTATGTAACTATTGTATTTTTCATTTTAATTCTGCAAAATGTTATGGTCGGAACATTATTCACTGAAAAATAATTTGTTTGATCTCAAATAGCATAACTATTGCAGTATCTCCTGCTGACCTTTGATGGGTTCATTGTTGAATTGAGTAGAAGGTCAATTATGAGAATATCATCTTTTATGTAAATTCTAGAATCTATATTGTGTGCTTTGAAAATACGATTTAGAGTGCTCTACATTAATTATGGCTAGGGTCCTAGTTCCATTTGTTTATGTTGTCTATCTATTACTGAGGAGTGTAAAGCTTCATATTATTGGATATATATGTTGTAAATTTTTTTTGTAGAAATTTTGGAAAATCCTACTTTTAGGAAAGATGTAGCCAAAATTCCTACAAAAAAAGTAAAAACTAAAATAAATTTTGAAATATTAATTTTTGTCAAAACTAAATTAGATACACATAATTATACTGATAGTGTGTTAGATGTATTAATTTATAACTTTTCTTAATTGAGGTTTTAGGAATGTATGTTTATGCATATCCTTTGCCAGTCATGTTAAATTTTTGGACGTGACAACCAAGGTACTTTAAGTTGGTTAGAAAGCCCAAAGAACTCAAGGATATAGCCATTTTCATAAGAAATTAAACTATGGTTGAAATGCATCAATTATTGCAACTCCGTCAATAATGCACTGATCTTACCTTGCATTGTTCGAATCACTATGAAAGTCAAGCTTTAGTACTCGACCCATTTGGTTGCTATAATGAACTCCCTCCCATTGATAACAATATGTCTTGTTCAATTCGTGACCTCATGAAGACCATGTGTAAAGGCCATTGTTATCTCCAAAGCATCCTAAACTGAAGCAAGGATTTTCTGTCCATCTTTATGCATCCAACCTCAGTAGCTATATCTCCATCTCTTGTTCTATTCGACCATGTGCGGAAAGTCATGAGGACAACTGCCCTTCGTCAATTGACTACATGCAGACATAAATGAACTTGTCCTGATCGTGTGCGGATGTAGACACAAAAGTGGAAATTAATATTTAATATAGTTTAAATCGGACATAAGCATATCAAATAAGATAAGATGCAATTTGGATAGATTCTAGGTTCAATGAGGATGAATTTGTTAGAAATAATCATTCTAAAATCCTTTCATCTTATCTATCTTATATTTGAAGGCTAGGAAGCATATTACAAAGCCTGAAGAAGTTCTTCCAAATTAGGAGTTTTCTCTCCTTTTCATCTTCTTTGGATTCTCTTTAGGTCTTTTATTTGAGATTACAATTTTAACTCTATGAGTTCTTGCTAACCTCTCAATTAGAATTGGAAGTAGCCTGACTATGATGGATTTTATTCATTATTTGGTTTTGTTTATTTTCCCGCTAAACATGATTTTATCTATGAGAATTTTTTTTCATTTATTTTTTTTATCTCATTTTATTACTATTTATATATGTGGCCAGTATATAATTTGTTTATAAGCTATTTGAAGAATTGAGAGGTGAAGAATTAGTATAGACCTAAATAGTATTAGATATGACAACACACCCAAGAAAAGGGTGAATTGGGTGTGTTAATTTAATTTTTGGTGTTTTAAAAATTTTTCCCAATAAAAAAGAGTATAAGAGTATGTTTAAGGTTAATATGTGTATGATTGATTAAAAACAATTTCTAAGTGCAAATTGAATAAGAACATGTAAATATATCAAATTCTATTTTCTACATTAAAATAGAGAATAAACAAAGGTTGCTAGAAATGTAAAGAGATAAGAGAAGAGAGAGTGCAAACATTAATTTATTCTGGTTTAGTTCCACCACTTGAGCTTACATCCAGTCCCCAAGCAATTGTTTGATTTCTCTACTATAATCCACAAGTTTGAATCAAGCACTTTGAGTTGTTACAATTACTCATTACACTAATGAGATTTTTCTCCTAAGAGAATAACCTCTCTTAATTATAAGAGAAAACTTTTCCTCACTTTCACAAGAATTTTGAATATATAAATCCTTAATAAGAGCTCTGTCTAAGAGTAAAATGAGTACAATTAAGCACTTATACCTAAATGATGAATATATACACACACACAACATATATAGATGATATTGGCTAAGAATAATGATTTTCATAGAATAAGCGAGTAGAAAGAATGCAAATCTCATAACTCAATGATCTCTGAGCTTGATTTCATGTTAGAATGAGTTTGGAACGTTATAGCCATAGAGTGAAATTGTTATTAGAGACATAATATGACTATTTATAGTCATTGTAACAATGATTATAGAAGTTCGAGCCATATCAAGTTTGAAAGGTACTGTTTCACGTGTGATGTGAAGGGATGCTTCACATGTGGATAGGTATGTTTCACATGTGGATTAGATAACAAAAGCATTTGGCTTCTCAAGATGACAATTCATGTATGGATTGGAACGTTTCACGCGTGATGAATGGAAGGCTTTATTGTATAAAAATTAGGAAAGCTATAACTCAATCAATATAACTCTAAATCTAGCAAATTATATATGGTTTAAAAAAATCTTGAAGTCTAGTTTTTATAATAAATTAAGTTTCACAATTAAATCCAACTTACCTTAGTAGATATAATCAAAAAAATGACTAAAGGTCAAAACTAAATACTATGCAAAATTAATATCTCAATACTTAACTTTTTAAATTTATATCTTTCTTAATAGAACTCCATTTTAAATAACCTAACTATCATTGAAATCTTATGGAGTCTACTTTTAAAAGATATATGTTTTACATTAAATGATCTATATAGTGAGAATATGAGTAAAAAACATGACCAAAGGTCAAATTGATTTTCTACACAATTCATATTTCAAAGCTTAGATTTCAAGTATTCATGACTTTTTTAATTTAAACTTCATTTTAAGTAAATAGAATAATTTTTAAAACTTTGTGGAGTTAGTAATCAAACATTTCAAAGCTTGTGAGATATGCACTATAAAAGGTGAAAAATATGATTACAGAAAATTATAACTCACTCTTTTTTCTTAAGAACTAAAATGCATGTTTTGATTTA